CTTCCAAAATTTCAAACTGAAAGTTGCCGCTGACCCCAAGTTTGATTTTGAGAGCAGTCATGTTTTCTTGTTGGAAGCTGCTGAAAGGTACTATATTACATTTTAGATTTTTATCCCAAAAACGTTTTTGCAAACATGCTTATTTTCTTAAAGACCAACATTTCAGTTGCTCAGCTGACACCAGTAATCTGACATTAACTTTTGTACTAAAAGCTTTTTTTCCTGTGAGTTTTATGAAAAGCTTTAGATTTTACTTTTTTCAACTACGCCTCCTTGACAACATTTGGAAACCACCCCATAAATCAGTGGCAATGGAGAGTTTTGTTACTAGAGCTCTTAGGCCCCTCCCCTGCAAAATGCTGCAGAAAGAGCTTGAAGAAGTAGGACCCAGATTTTCAGAGGTATTTAAGAGGCCAAACTCACTTTAAAATTGAAGAGCCCCTAAATGTCTTTAAAGACCCCAGTCCTAAATCTTGACAAGGATTCCTCACTGACACTTTCCTACCACTCTCCAACAAGACTTGGTGGGGAAGCCCTCTATAATAAGCTGTCCCGGGCTCCTGCCACCTGGTGATGCTGGGAAGCTAGAGGTGAGCTAAGAAAAGCGCTCACTTTGGGAGTCCCAAAGCGTGCCAAGGAGAGGACAAGGGAGGTCACCAGCTCCACCTCTACAAAGCAAATTGAGACCCCCTTCCATGAGCTCATCTGCGGGTGGCGACCTGGACTGCTCTCACTGTCCAATGTGCCGCATATAGCTGGCCATTGTGGTACAAGCCACACTGCAGTTAAAATTCATTGCTTTCTAATTATTGCATTTTAAGGCAGTGTTTCCAGTTACTACCAGTTTGCATTTACAGAAACAGAATCTAATTTCCTTTTTTTTTTAATTCCTTTTTCTTTTTCTACAGGGAGATGAAGGAAGGGGAATTCTTGTCAATAGAAATTCAAACACAGTAAATGAACAAGTGCACCTAGTGAACCAGCACTGTATTTTCCTTGCTGTGGCCTTTTGTTCACGTTGCAAATTGATTTTGAGATGACACTAACAGTGGATAATCTAACCCGGGCAGTTATGAGGGGCCTGATCCTTACAAAGCAGAAGTCCAGGCACAGTCAGTGGGAACTGAGGGCAATCAATACCTTTGGAGGGTTAATCCTGTGAAATGTGCAATAAGCAGTTCCCACTTCCCCAGACAGATACAGAAGCTTCAAAACCAGAATAAATCCCCAGTAAGGAAAAAAAAAAAAAAGAAAAAAAGAAAAAAAAAAGAGCAAGTTCCTGCTTTCAGATACTTTTAGTGCAACCTCTTTAAGATGAAGGGATGTACCAGAAAGAGAATCCTGCCAAAGCCATTCCTGTATATATGAATTTTTAGATCAGAGCCAGCTGAACTGTCACTGCTTTTTACTGAAGATAATTCTTCGGGCTTTACTAATTAGGAACTAACAATTCTTTCAGATGAGCTGTGAAACCCAGGGAAGAATACCAGCAGTATGTTTTAAATCAAAGTGTTTACATCAGGAATGATTCATTTTTTCCATGAGGAATGACTTGTGAGACAGGCAGTCTTAGCACTACTATAAATCTGCGTGGGAATAAAAATTGGGGAATAGTGTAACAAAGTGAAGTTGCTAACCCCACTTCCCCTGCCTCAGCCCCACCTCTAGAGACAGAATTTACATTAAGGGGCTCCAACTACCACTGCAATCAGTGTTTGAAAAACACAGGGGTTTAAATCCATTTAAGAAACACTGTGATTAAGCTCAGTAACCCTGTTCTCCTCAATAAAGAAAAGGTACAACACATGAAAGGGAACTCCAGCATTTGTCATCTGCCCTAAAGCTTTTAAAAAGAAAGAAATTTTTTTAAAGTTAAAACAACAATATAAAACCTCCACATTCTGTGAGCAGTGTTTAAACAGTGCTTAAGAAATCCATACAAAAAAAAACCAGACAGAAAACAAAAACTTCTAGTTTAGGCCTGTATATTTTCCCTTTCCTCGCTTGGAGGACGGAGGGCTGCGGGCTGAGCACGAGGCCGCTCTCATTCTCAGTTGCAAAGTGGTTGAGGGGCTCTCTGGGAGCGCAGCAGGGCTGCCAGCTCCATAGCATGTTTCATCCCAGCTGTTTGAAAAGCTGGTCCACTTGAAACACAACCATTATCCCCACCCACACTCTGCAGGAGAGCAAAGTCCCCTTCAATGAGGTATTTTATTCCACGTATATGGTAACTATTATTTCTAACATTTACAACACCAGTCATTTTAATTAGGAAAAATATTATAACAGCAAAAAATCCTGCACCACACATACACAGAGACACGCATATTTACATACAGAAACGCAAAGCATTCAAGTTGTTTCTAATAACTGCAGCTCCTGGAGGAGACATGCGTTCCACACACAATTGACTTAAATGCGCTTTTTTCTTTTCTTGCCATAAAAATATACAGATGTCCTTCTTCAAAAAAATTATTCTCCCTTTTCCTGTGTTACAGGAAGCCTGCCCACACTTTTAAATACAAAGTGGGTATAAATAGAAGCACAAATTAGGCATCTTGAAAAGTCTATATTTTCCAACCACAGGGAAACGAAGGAATTACTGTGAGTGTTTACATACCCGACTATGTTGAATTAAAACAGTATTTTTTATCCATACGCCCAGCAAAACTGGCAAGAAACTAAGGAGGGGAACGATAGCCTTGCTGGTTCTTCACCTGTTGCTACAGTGGGTCTGGGGTATGTTTACATTATTCAGCCTTCTTCATATGGACTACTATAAGCGTCAGCCTGAATACAGTCACCACTTTGATGAAAGCATGTCTTACATATATAAATGATACAACTACTATGAAATTTTCAGTAAGGCTGTCTGCTTTCCTGTAAATCTAACTAGACATTTGTCTCTTCAGTTGTCCTTCTATATCACATCTATTAAAGGTAAATAAAAGCATGATGGCTCTTATATGACATTAATAGCTTGAGGGATTTTATAAATCAGTGAGTACAAATGTACAGCTTGCTACAGCGGCGGCAAAGCAGGTCTGCCCATCCTATGTTTTCTGACTTGGACTTCTGCTTTAAGATCATGTTGCTCATTTAAAATTAACTCATCCCTTGTTTCTCTACTGTTACATGCCGGATAACTTCTGCTGTTCTCTGAACTTCTGACATCAATGTTTTTCTAAAAGTCCACACATCTTAACTAGCTAGCATTATTGGTCACAATACAGACATAGTAGCTTCATTAAATCTTGAGAACTCTTGTCAAAAGGCGAATTCAGTAAAATAGAACTAAATAAACTAAACGCAAACCACTCAGACTCATTGTGACCAGCCAGCCCATTGTCATCAGTCTGAATCTTCAGTAGTATCAATAACGCTTTGAACTAGACTTAAGGGGTGAGCTGGCAGCTGGTCAGATAGTCAAAATGGCAATTGTCACCAATAAATTCAGCATAAGGTTTGTTGTTTGTTTCAGAGGGTTGTTTTTGTCACACATTTCACCTCTCCCCAGCTGTAAGACCTACAAACAGAGAAGCTATTTTGCTTCCCTAATAAGACCTTTTTTTTTTTTTTTTCAAGTGTGATTCAGGAGTTGCATTAACAAACCGTAAGCTACGAATGGTGTCTCCAGCCCGCAAGCTAGTATTTCTACGCGCTGCTGCTCGCGAGCAGTCATTCGCTCTGCACATTCATGCCTCTCTGGCAGACAAGCCTGCTGCTGGTGTGCTGCAGCACATCCTCCCCAGCAGAAAGATGAGTAACTCCCCCAGAGGGTTTGAGCAGGGCTGTGTGAGAGAGGAGGGTGTACAGAAACCGACTGCCTACACTGGAAGAAAGCTCAAAAGCTTAACTGCAAACTTTCCCCTAAATACTCATCTAAACTATAAGGACAACAAGTGTTCGTTTTCTGAGAATACCTCCATCCTTATTAGCAATCAGGGTCTTTTTTTTTTTTTTTTTTTTAAAAAGGACGTTGGTGAGACTTAAGGTTGTGCGAGATGTACTTTGATCTGCACCCTGATGAGTGAACATTCCCCTTTGCTGCTAGCCCAACTAATGAAGGGATAAAATTAGCTTTTATCCCTGGCACTTTCTTTAGCAAAAAAACATGCACTAATCAGCTGTCCTCACTAATCAGTCATCTGGCTAATGACCTTTTGCCTTAAAACACTAAAATTTCTGAATGATGTGGGGGGGAAAAAAAAAAAAAGAAAAAAACAACGCAGACTGGCCCCTCTTTGTGGGTCTTAAGCCTATCATCTGGAACTGGAGACTGGAAGGTTAAATGGCAAATCTGTATCCTGACTGGGTGATAAATCTATAATCAAAAGGCACAAGCCTTGACACCTCAAGATGTACTTCATTACTACACAACTAAATGATTTTTTTTCCCCTCTTTCTTTTTTTGTAAACTAGAAGCAGATGAAAAAAATTGCTTAACTCCCTCATATTTTGCCTGTGGAGAAATCCATTCCACATCTGTGTTCAAGTGTCAGTTAATTTCTTACTTTTTTATTAATGCCTGAGCAGGAATTCAGAAGTTGAAACCATTTGCGTTTCCGCCCCCCGCCCCCCAACTTCAGGGTCCTCTTCTTAAAACTGTATTTTAACATTGTTTTAAAAGAGGGATTTTAAGGCCTGTTTCATTTTCCTTCTGTGCTTTCTTTAATGAGGCTTTTTTTTCTTCATGTATTAAGGAGGTGGAGCAAATGCAACCCTGGATGGCTGAGGAGGATTAGCAACAGATGAGATGTCCTGTGGAAGTTGCTTTGCAGAGGCCTGTGATAATTTCGAGCTGCAATGCAACTGCCCCCTGGTTTTTAAACTTCAGAAAAAAAGATTGTATTGCCTCAACACATGCCACCCTCCCCTCCCCAGACAAAGCAGTTCTCCCTGGGGACGATGCAAGGCAACAAATAAAATTGCATTAAACCCGACAGCCTTGACAGCCTTCCAACTTTGCATCCCCAAACGAACCAGCCATCGATACTCACGGTAATGAGGGTCCATGTAACCGTTTCGGGGGTCCATGGTAAAGAGCGTCCCGCGGTAAGGTACAGAAGGTTCGGGAAGGTGCGATATAGATCCATGGATCTCCTTCTTGATTAATGAGGCCCTTTCCTCGCTCGACGTGGAAGGCTCTTCACTGATCTTGCCGAGGCCTTGCCCACCCTGCGGCTGCATTGTGATCGCGTTCCTTCTCTCTCTGTGATAGGTCTGCCCAGGACTTTCATCCTCTGCAAAAAAACGAGGGAGAAGAAAGAGAGAAGGGAAGGAGAAAGAGAGACACACACACTTTTAGCCCATTTATAGCAAATACAATAAAGAAAAGTTCTCCCCCGCCCCCCTCCCGGTGTAAGTTGGTGACAGTGGGTGCCTGTGCGGCTGTGAGCGATGGCCGGGGGAAGCCCGCCCGTTCCAAGCGGGCGGCTGCGGAGCGGTAGATCACCGTCACCCATGCGCCGGTGCTCCTACCGGCGAGGCTATCAATCGTATGATAACAGACACAGACTTGCTGTTTGCTAGCCTCTGGGACAAGGAGACCGGGAGTTTGGGCTGCCTGACAGGGAGGCAAAAGCCAATTTGTCACAAAGAGGAGAAGATGAACCCCGCTGGCTGGGTCTAAATCAAACCTAGCCACCCACTGCTGCTCTGCAGCCCGGCTCCAGTCCCTGGAGTTTGCTTGTGTGAGAGGCTGGAGCCTTGCAGGAAGGTCATTAGCAATCAGAAGTAAGGTGGGCAACAGTAAAATGGGTAAAATTGTTCAAGGAACAGCACCAGCAGCATTGGGCCGGCGCAGGTGAGGCCACCCACTCTAACAGCATCACCACAAGGACGCACGAGGAGGGCAGCAGAGCGTGCTCCCCCTCCCTCTTCCCCATAGCAACATGTACAAATCCACAAATTCTTAATGACCAAGGGGAAAAAAAAGTTAGGAGGACCAAACCCAAGCCCTAGTCTGCAGTAAGCCTCTAGGCCTGCGGTACTACTTGTGAGGAGAAAAGGGCCTCCTGATGACGGCTCCACCAGCCTCCCTTGCAGGCAGCCCCTGGACTTGGTGTTGAACCAACCCCCTGCTCCGACATGAATTTTAACCCCCTTGGAACCACATGCACCCTTCGAAAGCCAGACCAAGCAGTTCTGTTCTTCAGAAGCCAGATATATGTTCCCAGGTACATTTCACACATGCCACATTGCGAAGGGGTTTTGTTAGCTACACAAATCTCTACTGTAAATGCTCTCCTGAAAGTTGCAAGATTGCATTAAAATACAGAGACCTTTCCTCTAAACAAGTGTGATTGCTGGCTGTACTCCTGGCCCATACCCAAGCTCCAGGTACAGCCTTGTCCAATCAACCACCCTGCACATACAGGCAGATACCAATACATCTTGAAAAAGTACTGGTAAATATGCTTAGCTTCAAAAGTTGCTCAGCAGTTCTGTAAGTGCATGAGGAACCTCGTATTATTAAACACCGGGCACAAAAAAAGGTAACTAGAAAGGAAATTAAAACACCCCTAGGAAATAAAACCAAGGTACACGTACTCTACAACCCACATGGAAGAAAGGATCATTGCAAAGATTGCACTTCAGTTGTTAAGAGATTTGAGCTCAGGGCTGAATTTTCACTTGTACCTTGCCCTGGTGTACTTGTTCACACAGCAAAAGCACCAGTGAGCAATGCACCAGGAGACTACTTTCACCAGGCCTGACACTGGCATAACTCAACCTATTTGCCTTCGTATGAATTAGATTAGAAACAGGTTCCGTAAGTATAGATACCTGGACCTGAATTTTAGCCCATATATGCATAAACTAGCTACGCCACTGCTTTGAACGCAGTGCTCGCTAGGCTTCTCCCTGCCCCCTCTCCTCCCAAGTAGCAACAAGAAAACCCAGCAGCGTAGCCTATTGAGCGCTTAATTATTTTTCTATCTCCAAGTATTACAGCAACCAGGGTCTGCTGACTTATCAGCATCTTCCAGGGACTGAATTCTTTTTACAGCCAGCAGTAATTCTCCATACAGAGTGTTTCCAGGATTGGGTCTGAGGAGAAAGAGTTAATGGAAATGGACAACAACACTGCAAAGTTTAAACCCTTTGCCCTTTTCTACTTTTTATTAATATGCACAGGCACTGGTCCCTGCTCTGGATTAGCCGGGTTTAAGGTTTCATCTTTTTACACCGAAGCTGGTTTTAGTTAGAGAACTGCAAAAGGGAGTCTAAAACTTTAAAACTTCTACGAGGTTTTTAGAAAGCTGCTTGTATAACTAAAAAATAAAAAATAAATCACCCCAAAGTCATATTTTCCATCATGTTTCTCTCTAGCTGGAGTCTTTTATGTTAAATTTCAACCTAGGGTGAACTTTCTACTGATGAGATGTAAACTCTTGTAAAAATAGGGGATTACACTATTTGAAATCCTGACAGACCCTTAAGCAGAGCAAGCTAACCTGTGCTCCCACAGTATGGAAAGAAGCAAGCTGGAGTGATTTGTAGGGCTGTATAATCAATCCGAAGATCAGATAGGATTTCAGTTCTTTTACTCTTCCATATAAAGATAATATTTGTTAAAACTGCCATCCTGGGATACAACAAGAAGCTGACGTCTGTCTGCAGGCTCCACTTTTATTCTTTCCTTCTCAAAACATGCATGTGTCACGAATCAAGGTACTAGTGACTGCTATGGAACAAGCTGATTTTCCAAATTGCTGAATGAAATTCAAAACCTACTTTCAGTAACTTTGAAACTAAAGGAAAAAAATGTGTTTTGTTTTAATAAGCTTCCTTTTTCTTTTTGGTTCCTCAAGGAAAAAAGGAAAGAAAACAAAAAAGCAGTATTTTTCCTTCTGCATCAAACCGTCTCTCTCCCCACGATGAAATCACTGCCGCGTGCTGTTAGAAGTCAAATATTTCTGTATGCTGTCTGCCATGTAAAAATTTTCCCGTAAGTATTTTTTTTTTTTTTAAAAAAAAACAAAACATGACAGCATTTTTGCAATAGTAAGGCATAGTCAACGGCCAAACATCTCGCTAAGCGTTTACTTCACGCTCCGCACCGCTGAGCTGCTTTTGATGGGGGGCAGACGAGACACTTGACAGCACCTGCGCTCCAGGGCACGGGCAGGCGAGCCGTTTGCCGGAGCTCCCAGGCACCGAGCAGGAAACTCCTCTCGCAGTAGTGCTGCCAACTCTCACAACGGCAGGGGAGCCCCCCCAGCGCGCCAAAAGGCAAAAGCTGTCTAATCTTGTTCTGTTTCAGCTGAATCGTTCAATAAAGTTTTAAGAGTAAGTGCAGGCAAGCTGCGCCAGGCCAAATTATTGACAGAAACATACTGTCCGCCATGGCAACAAGTGGGACTCTATAGCAAAAATGTAAGCAAACAGCCTACTTCTCCGGCAGCATCTGCCAAAGGGGTTTACAGCCAAATACACGACAACTGATGCTGCTCTGCTCACGTTTTAGAAGTGGCTGGCTTTAGGGTCAAAAGAAACATCCGATTTACTAAAATCTTGCAGAGAGGTGAATGCCAAAGTTAAAGGGACCGATCCTCCCTCATCTCCACCCGCTTCCTGCTGGTGGGACCCCTGACTCCAGCATAGCTCATCCAACCTTTTGCGGGTTAAATAAGAAAAGAAAAAAGAAAAAAGTAATCAGGCCTCAAGAGCAATCTGCATAAGCTTCTCTTTCTTCATGTGTATAACTTACCCTGTCTTAACAAGCCAGTAACCAGGGTACACGTTACAAGTGCCCAGCCTGGAATGGCCACATTAATCCAAGGTTCTCCCATACACAGAGGAATACCCGATTTAGTCCTGCTACTCCAATCAGAAGCAGTTTTTATTAGATGTGCTCAGCACCAAGGAGCACCTCATTTAATCAACAAGCTTTTTCAAAAAACTCACACCGGACAGCATGCCTGAATAAACACACTTTTAATTGCTCAGCTAATTTACCCAGAACATTAAAAAAACAGGACAAACCAAAACCAAATGCAAAAATCCATTGAACTTTCTTTCCCTGTTGAACTTTTTTTGCTCTTTTTTTTTTTTAATTGTAGACCAAGACAAAGTAGACGCTTTTTTACTTTAAACCTCTTAAAGCCAGCAACTAAAGAAAGTTGAAGTCTATTGATACACCACACTAAAAATCAGCCTCAGTGCACTTCAGAGAGACCCCCGCTTAAACGAGGCAACACCAGCCCTGTTAGATCTGTTTATATATTAAGTTTCATCACCGCATTTCTGCATGCAACTTGCGGAAAGCATTGGCATCTCCTGAGCAATCTGCCGACGCACTTCGGCTGGGTAAGAGAAGAGACAAGGTACTTACAACTCAGTCCAAGAGACCCTGGCTGACGCTCCCTCCAAGCTCTTCTCTTGACCAAAATTCTCTGGCTACCGGGACGTGGGCATTCCTCCTTCTCTTTTCCTCTCTCTCCCTTTCCCCCCCTCCCCGTCTCCCTCCCTCTCTCTGAGAGGCAGTGCTTCTCCCATTAGAGGAATTAAAAGTGGTTGGTGCCATGCTAAATTTAACAAGCTCATTAGTATTCTTCCTGTGTGCTTCCTAGTGAACTCTCCCTATTCAAGCAGCTCTCTCTAGCTGAGGGGTCAGGCGGCTAATCATTAAATCAAACTAATGTCACCCTATCACAATCGGCCTAAGAGAAGGAGGGTTTATTATTTCAGTTTATGCTAAATAAACGGTTTTACAAATGGTCTCCAAGCAAGGTCAACAGCAGCTTCAATTACAAGACAAACTTAACAAGAGTTGCTATAAACCAAGTGCTCCATATTGACCTAAGCACAAGCTCGGCTCCGCATATTGCCACTAGCAGGATTGTACAGGAATGCATATTGTAAAATAAAGGAAAGGGTAATCTTTTCTTTGCCAGAATTTGTGACTGCACAGAGACTGCTCATTCACCTCTCCCCAACCAGCTTGCTGCTCAGCTCAATTCACCCCACACAAAGGCTGAAGACCAGACCTCAATGGACCGAGTGAAACATGTTCAAAACTAGGCTCTCTATTGTGACTGAATTTCTTAACATCTTTTCAAAAAGCGGAGAATGCCTTGAGGCTAAAGGAAGAAACAGGCTAATGGTGAATTGGGAATACTGAGCAAATTTCAGAGCCCTTTCCTCCTAGCTTTTGAGGTTGAAAGCAAGCTCTTTCCTTTCAAGTTTCAAAGTCCTTTTTCCTCCCGCAGTGTCACAGAAGGATTTGAAAAGAAGG